TCCTCGACTTACGACCAGTTTAGTCCTCGACTTACGACCTGTTGGGGGGTTGTGGCATTAAAAAGGTTGAGAACCACTGATCTAGATCTAATATTATTAAGTAGCAGTAGCCATAAGGATAGCAAAAGCTTACAAAGATCAACACAACTGATGTACAAACAGCATATTCATGGAACAAGCAGAAAGCTTTTGGTACAGCAAATATGCCTCTGCAATTTAGAATCCATTGGTTGCATCAGGCAAGCAGTAAATGGACATGTGATTCTGTTCCTCCCAAAGCCAATGTGAAAAGCAGCATTTTTCAGAAGATGCTTTACAATGAGAAGAGCCTGAAATAAATGGCAAGAGAATATGAGAACTTACTTCTAGGATCATATTTTGAATTTCTTGTTAGCCCAGATCAATTTCTACCCATTCTGCTTTCAAAATTATAAGTAGTTTTGCCTGGCTTTTAAGGAGCAATACGTTGGTGCATCTCCAATGGGCTATGTGAATTGCCATTAAAGATATTTTAGATCTTTGTGGTTCCATCTCTCCTTTATCTATGGAAGAGATAGAAATTGTAATATCGTAAAGAGTGTTAGTATCTTAGAGGAATCGAGAAGCAAAGACTGAAATAGGGAGAACTGGGAATATCAGTTTAGAAAGCAAAAGAATGTGCATGAAAAGCTGTAAAACAAAAAACAAAAGATTCAGTTTTTCATTGATTAATCTGGTCCATACTATGTACCCTTGAAAATAAAGTTTCACAGAGTGAGGATTTAACAGTAGTGCAGGATTTAACAGGATCTAGGCTGAAGTCCCATTTGAAATCATCCTATAAAAATAGTCATTGGGACTACCCTAAATACTATTGATTTCAATATATCTGTATTACTCATTGTACAATACATTACAGACTAAGGCTGGACACGTGCAACAGATTGTCCACAGAGCCTCTAAAACTCTTCAGTTCCCATAAAAAAAGTAGTCAAATTGTTTCGGATTTAAAGGGGAATCATAAGGAAATGTGTTTATTCTGCAGGAGCTTCTACTGTTCTTGTTCAGTCACTAAGACATGTCCAACTCTTCACAACCCCATGGATCACAGCACACTAGGCCCCTCTATCCACCACTGTCTCCCAGAGTTTGCCCACATTCATGTTCATTGCCTTAATGATACTATCTATACATCTCATTCTCTGCTGTCCCTTTCTTCTACTTTCAATCTTTCTCAACATCAGGGTTTTTCCCCCAATGACTCATCTCTTGTATCCAAGTTTTTTTATTAATTTTCCAATATTGCATTTACATATTTGAAAAGTAGCGTGGCAGTTGAGCATTGTAATTCCATTACATTTAAATATCATCAGTATAAATCTCAAAGTATTACAAAAACAAATTCCCTCTCTTTTCCCCATAAGATCTACTATCATATTCAGATCAATACTATCATATTCAGATCAATAAGATTCTTATCAATCAAACAAAAACTACCTTTCTAATATTCATCAATAATCTTCAGTCTATACATATCTTAATTAATATGACATTCCATCTTTTAGACCAGCGGTTCTCAACCTATGGGTCGCGACCCCATTTGGGGTCGAACGACCATTTTACGGGAGTCGCCAAACAACGCGATCCGCCATTTTTCCCCCTCAGGGGACAGCGCCGCGCATGCGTGCCACGCATGGGGGCGCTGCCGCGCATGCGTGCCGCGCATGGGGCGGCGCCGCACATGCGTACCGCGCATGGGGCGGCACGCCCGTGTGGCGGGGGGCGCCGTCACACAAAGGTTGAGAACCGCTGTTTTAGTCAATAACCTAATAATGATTCATCTCTTATTGTCTGGCCAAAGTATTTGAGCTTAGCTTCAGGATCTATCCTTCCAAAGAACAGTCAGCATTGATTTCTTTTAGGAATAACTTCTATAATCAATTATTAATGCAGTTTGTCAGTGAGGCTGGTGGTGAGAACCATTTAAAAATTATACTATATTGGACTTCTTTTAGGCTGAAAACACCCACATACCAAATTGCCAAATTCCTCAACATTCTGCAAAGTCCACCTTGCCCAGCCTGGAAATTTTCATCTTTGCCTTATATGCTTGATTCCTGCACCTCATTTATACTGCCATTCCATTGTCTTGATTTAAAATTATGTGTTCCTACCTAATGTTGAATATTGAAATTTCTTTCATAGTTGTAGAGTATCACCGGTAAACAATTTGGTGTGCTACCACATTGTTTGACTGCATCTCATATCCCCAATTGTTTTGTTCTTTTAGACCAATACATCGCTGCGAGGAAGTCTAACATAGCATACAACGTGTCCATTAATTTATTTAGTGTATGGCATACAATGTCATACATATTAGGCACAATGCAGTCCTGACAGCCTAAATTGCTAGTCCATTCTGTTTGGTGCTTGCGTACCTATTCTTAGTGCATCGCAGGGGGCAAACTAGCTTACACCAACTGACTAGTGGAGCTCAACATGCTAGCTCTTCCAGGCTCCTCCTGCCAGTCTTGCCTTGCCTTGTGTTGCTTTGCCTTGCATCTGGCCAGGTCCATTAATTAAAAGGAGATGGACACCCCCCCTCATGTTCACACTAACTACTTCATTCTTTTCACCAAAGAATGTTGCCACACTTATTTTAACACTTCTGTAGAACAATCTATGGAAATACCTTTGCCCTCAGAAAAAAAAAATTGGCTAAGGTTTCCACAGTTCTCATGGATTCCCAGAATGAAGAATACTGCTTATATGAGGGTGGGTATTAAGAAGGTCACAGGAGAAAACATAAGTACAGTAACTAAAATATAATGTTCAAAACTACTTAAGCTTTTGTGTCATTGATTATTTTCAAAAAAGAAGTAAGAATTATTCTTGATGTGAAAATCTCTCAGCCTGCAAAGATTTTCTATTTGTTTTTAAATGTATGCAGGCTCTTTGATCTGCTACTTTGCTGTTCATACTTAAAATAAATAGTTTCTTTTATCTTGCCTTTTTACTGGGTTTAGCCTTTGCAAAGATGGTTTAAATCCAAATTGTTTGGATTGGTTTCTATTATAAGGTTTATTATTAAAAGCATGCAGTTCTGAATTTGGTCTAGGAATTTGAAAAAGTAAATATTCATATAACCCACAAGAGAGGGTTAAAACTAATAGAAGAAACTGGTAAGCTACATTGGCTTAGGCAATTCAAGAAAGTTGTAAAAGATGTGCAAGAAAAAGTTCAGATTGTTCAGGAGTCATCTTATGCAGTATTTCTTACCGGTAGTAGATTTTTCAAAATATATTTGAATTAGTAAGTAAAAAAGAAAATGAATTTTACTTTTCTTTTAAGATTCTATTTAAGAAAAAACGCTAGCAATTATAACAAGTATAAGCCAATGCTACCAATAATCACACTGAAGAATGAACAGTCTTCACTGCATCAGGCAGTGTTGAAGCATCTGTTTCTCTACTAAACTAGACGTATGCAAAATTCAGCATTGCAAAAATTTTGCAGTGGTGATAAGCTTAGATGGTATTCAAAAAAGATTGCACAAGATTTTAGGAAATGGAGTGAAAAACAAATACTACCCGTTCTCTTGAACTATCCAATTAACCATAGGCTCACTATGCAAATTGTGGAAAACATCAGTAGGTAGGACTAACAAACTATGTACAGCTGTAGCCTATCTGTAGTTTGTTAGCTGTTTTTGCTAGTCTTTCCCATAACTACAGTAGTGAGCCCGCATTCAGCAACCTGAATCTGCTGAATGTTAACTTACCAGGGAATCAGCAGTATGCTAGCACATGTTGCTTTGATTACATTCATTAGTTTCTTTTCCAATGGACATCAGAAAACCAATTATTCATGGGTCTTCTTGTAGTTTTATTACTGGGCTCTCCTAGCTAGGAATTTTTTAAAAACTTTATTTGTCAAATGTTCAGACCTCCTATCTTACTCTCTGGGCAATGTACTATTAAAAATGTAAAAATCATGTAAAATACTATATCTCAATAGATAAAACAGAGATGGGTTAAATTAAAAGTTTAAAAAAATATTGGTAGGGCCTTCAACACCTAACCAATCCCAAGGTTGCATGCTCCTCTGCGAGTCTGATGTGAGTCAGTAGACTCAAGTCTTCAAACTCTTTCAAAAGGCCAGGAGATTGGGAAAGTAATTTGTTTTTTTTAGTTGTCCAAATAAATAAATAAACCTGGTATGGATTCAAGTGGAACACGTGCTGGATACTATTGACAGAATGAACAAATGTGCACATTTGTAAGGACAAGCAAGAAACATTGGTGAGGAATTGCAATTTCATTTGCACAAGCATCATGGTGCATATGACATCATTATGACTTCTATAGTTGTAAACAAGCCACCAAGCTGTCTATAGTTTGCTTCCTAAGTTGTCAATCGGAAGATATGTTAGGAGTGAATATCATGTAATAACTTAGTGCTTGTTTTCTGCTAAGCCAGAATCCTGATAATTATAATTTGGCATGGCATACAAATATCCTTTAAATATTCCACCTGAGTGGGAGAATGCGCCTTTTATTCTCATTATGCACCATTTTATAAATCTCATCTTCCCACTATCACTTCTTTTTTTCTAAACTTTAAATCTCTGAATATTTTAGTCCTTCCACAGAAGGAAGGTGCTCCATCTCCTTGATTATTTTGGCTGCCCTTTTCAACACCTTTTGCAGCTGTCTAAGTTATACTTATGAGATGGGTGAGTGACCAAAGCTTCAGAGTATTATTGGAGTCTGTACAAAACAAGCAGTTCCACATGAATTACAAAGAAACAAAATGGTTTTTCTAACCCCAGAAGAAGTGAAAACTGGAAACCATGTGGGAACATTCAGCTGATGATGACTCATCTTGGAAGAATGATTTTCTTTTTAAGATTTCAGGTCATCAAGTATTCTTCTCTTTGGTGTTAAGTACAATAAGGACAACCTCATCTTATAAAGATGGGAAATATGCTGTCTCAGGTCTTATATTTATTTGTATTTTAGTGTTCCCTGAGTAGGGCAGAAGCACGACGGGATGCTGCAAAAGTGGCCCTTATCAATTCTCTGTTCAATGAGTTGCCTTGTCGCAGGATCACAAAGGAATTCATTATTGAGAGTGTCCAGGAAGCTGTGTCTTCCACCAGTGTAAGTATTAGCCATCATTTTGTGTGCTGTATTCCTATGTATTTTTGATAAAATTATAAGCAAGAAAGAAATTATTCACATAAGGACAATATGAGAGGGCCTTGATTGATAAATTTTTGCCATTATGATGAATGTCTCCCTTTTGACCCAACCACTCTTTCCCTCACTACATACATGTCAAGACTATATTTTAAAAACTGATAATCTGTTTTGTTTCTTAAGAGGAACATATCAGGTTTTTCTAGCGTATTGTTGAGAAATAGAAGTTATAAGCATTCATGTTACATATGCCAGAAATAGGTTTTTTTTTTTTTAATCTGAGCTGCAGTTTAGCTTTAGGTACATCTCCAATAGAGATGGGGAAGATGGTGATGATATGGTGATGTCAGTGGGATATAGAGTTGAACGTTTTTTATTGCAAGTGAGAAAATAGGTGTTCAGATTTAAGGCATTCATACTGTATTTTCACCAATGTTACATCATTGATTACATTTTGCTTGTGATGAGATATTGAGTGACAAAATGGAAGTGAAGTGTATGAGGTCTGGTGCTCTGGAAGTGATAAAAAGAGGCAAAAACTGCATGTGGCTCTGATTTAGCCTCCTGACATATCCCAACAACTATAGCAATAGCAATGGCACTTAGACTTATATACCATCCCAGAATGCTTACAGCACTCTCTGGGCCTTTTATAATGTCAGTGCCTTGATTATCCAGTTTCAATACAGAAAATGTATTTTTTTCAATAAAAAGTATATAATCCAAGCATAAGCCTGAATTAGAAATATTGCTTGACTTATCATTAGAATATTGATGCAATGAAAGAAAAAATATGTACATTCAATATTCATTCATGCATACTTAGTGTATCAATTAATTTTAATGTTAAGACAAATGCTTAAAAATGTCTAGTTATATACTGCCATTCCCTCAGAGAATATATATTTTCTTGAAATGTATTATATAAGGAAAGTCAGTAATGGCCCAAAGGCTAAAACAGAAGTATGAATTATCTGAGCCCTTTGATTCATTTTCTTGTATTTCTGTTCTTTTTTCTTTATTATTTAACTGCCTCTGGCAAGGAAATAAGTTGGCAGGAGCTTTTGTGAAACAGAAACAGACTCAGATGTTAACATCTGCATTTGATGTTACCTCCATATTTTTCATGTGTTGGTTTATAGTTACCATATGTTGTCATTAACTATTGTGTTCCATCATGGAAGTTCCTGCATTTATTAATAAATAATTTTTTAAGTAATCATTATGCTCATCTTGAACAGCCATTGTATATGTTTCCTAGTTATAAAGATATAAAAACATCAAGTAAATGCAGGTTATACTGTAGGGATTTTTAAAAATATTCTGTTTGTATTATGGATTTATTAAAAACTAAATCCATTAATTCCCTTGAAACAAGATTATGAACAGTTCTAAAACTCAGTCACCCCTCTAGGTTTTCTATATGCCAGCCAAAGTTTCCAGTTTTTTACTGCGGCATAAGTAAATATTAGAAGAGAAATATATAATCTTGGTTTTGGTGTTCCAAATATTTCTAAAGAACAATTAACTATGTATGTACAGAAGCCCTATACTTATAACAAGAGTAGGTGATCTGGGACTTTAGAATGCCTTGTCATAGCTCCAGAGACTCATGTGGAGGGAGGGAGGGAGGGAGGAAGGGAGGAAGGAAGGAAGGAAGGAAGGAAGGAAGGAAGGAAGGAAGGAAGGAAGGAAGGAAGGAAGGAAGGAAGGAAGGAAGGAAGGGGTTTCCGTCTTAAAAAAAAGGAAAGATCAGATAAAGCAGAACATCTCATCCACTTTACATTACCTTTCCAATCACTGCAGTCCTCATCCCAACAAATATTTAGTGCAATTCAAACGCAACATAAGAAAAAGTTGCTGATTCTAGTTATGGAGCCAATAGGTCTACTTCCTGCCAACAGAAGTCCTGCCAACTTCTGTGATTGACAAATAAAATAACCAGAAGGAGAGAGGATGAAGTTATCTCCTCTCCATCCCCATCATCATGATGGAAGTAAATGAATGTGGTATTGATGGGTAAAGATAATCTTACTGGAGCCATATTATATCTTACAGTTTTTGCTAATGGGGCAGAATTCTATTTCAGTAAAAGCATGTGGATAATCTAATCAATAATGCAACAAAAGTTATAGGAAGAAAATAAATATGCTGACCTCTGCTGAATATATTAGTTTAGGCTCCAACAAACTTAATGAAATCTTCCCTTCTCTATGGAAGAAATTGCTGAAAAGTTAAATATGTAAATTATAAAATGCAAAGTTTCTGATAGGAAAGGAACAGATAGACTGGAATTACTTGGAAAGGGATGAGCCTCTGGTAAAATAGATAACACTGTTCCTCCTCTACTAAATAGTTTGATGGAGGCGATGTTTAACATTATGGTGAATTTATAAAGTAGAGGAGGTCTGCAAGTGAAAAAAAGCTTTCTTTTCAAACCACTTTACAAGTCCTGAAAAAAGTTTTTAAAAGTCCTGTTCCATTTTTGAAAACAATGGAACATTTGGGGAAACTAAGCCATTATTAATTTACACGTGACTTTTAAAAGAAAATTCATTTCATGCAATATATATTTTTTTTCCAATGGAAATTTTCTAAGGCAAAAACTTAAAATCCCAAAGTTCTATGCAGTTGTCCTCAGGGATATTTAAAAGCCAGCATAAATATTGTAGCAGCAGCATGCTCACGATCTTGCATTTCCAAAGCTATAAATCTGCTAACAGTTCCAGTGCAGAAACCATTTTGTGGATAATGCTCTGTTCAGTTTTGCACAGCTTATCCAGAAAGATTATTAAAAAGAAAAGGAAAATAAAATCAGCAAGTATTTCATCTTCAGATGGTTCCTACGGAATGGAAAACAATAGCACTGGGTATAAAGCTTTGATTCAAGCAGCTGCTTGCTCCCCCAGATGTGGCTCTATGATGCTAGGGTGTGCTATTGCATGAAATAAGCTATAAAATAACTGTGCCTTCATAATTTAATTTATATCTTCACACTTTTCATATTGAATTTGACAAACTCCACAAGCCCGCTTACAACAACAGTTTTGAGTTGAACTTTAAACCCCTCATGAAAAGGGAAGAAGAAGAAGAAAGGCAGAGAGAGAGAGCAAAGAAAGGTTCCAGCAAGTATTATTCGTTCCACAAACATACAGCTTTCTCACATCAGGGAAAGAGAGAAATGCATATGAATACAATTCCATTCCTCATCTAGCTCCCCTTCTGGGGCCAAGGTCAAGATGGTGGCTTGAGAACACACATTCACACACCACATTTTTTACATGTGAAAAGGGCTGTGCTTTCAATGGGTGGTCCCAGCCTCCACCTTGAGTTGTTAGACTCCTCCTGCAAACACCTCTGATCTGTTTCATTATTATTCTCTTATATCAGACCACAACTTCTAACAGCACAATTCTTCTAATTCCTCTTTTTTTAAATACAAAGAAAGATGTGGATAAATGCTAAGAAAATAAGATAAGCTTTGATTTACAACCACAACTGAGTCCAAAATTTCTAAGTAAGACAGTTGTGGGGTGAATTGTGCCCCATTTTATCATTTTATTTTATTTTATTTTTTACTGCAATGGTTAAGCAAATTACTGCAGATGTTAAGTGCATCATGCGGTTGTTAAGAGAATCTGGCTTACCCCATTGCCTTCCTTGGGGGAGAAGATTATAAATGGTGATCATTAGGGGACTGGAGGCTAAAGCATATAAGGAAAGGCTGCTGGAATTGGGCATTTCTAGTTTAATGCAAGAAGGATGAGGGGGGACTTGTTAGCAATGTTCCAATATCTCAGGGGCTGCCACAAAGAAGAGGGAGTTAAGCTATTTTCCAAGGCACCTGAAGGCAGGACAAGAAGCAACGGATGGAAACTAATCAAGGAGAGAAGCAGCTTAGAACTAAGGAGAAACTTCCTGACAGTTAGAACAATTAACCAGTGGAACAACCTGCCTCCAGAAGTGGTGAATGCTCCAACACTGGAAATTTTTAAGAGACTGGACAGCCATTTGTCTGAAATGCTATAGGGTTTCCTGCCTGAGCAGAGAGTTGGACTAGATGACCTCCAAGGCGCCTTCCAACTTTTTTATTATTATTATTGTTATGGATCATCGCACAGTTAGCCAGATGTTCAGACTGGATTTGGCATTTTGTCTACCTATCGAGTCCTTACCCAGGACCTGGGATAGATGTGGATGTGGATGTTTGATGGTATTACAGATATCGTCACAGGATGGAAGCAGTTCCTAGTAAGGCCACCTTTTGAAATTGACTAATAGCAAATTTGTCAATGCCAATGGTGTTCAACGGGAGAGCTGAGGAGTTTGTTCAGTTTCTGTCGGACAAAATCGCTCAGATTCAGAGAGACCTGGACTCCGACTGGGCAGTGCCAGCCGAGTTGCCAGGGGCTGGTCTTAGACATGTTATCTGGAGCGAGTTTGAGCCTGTGACCCCTGATGAAGTGGACAAGGCCGTGAGGGCAATGAATGCCGCCACCTGTTTACTGGACCTGTGCCCCTCCTGGCTGGTTTCTGCCAGTAGGGAGGTGACACGAGGCTGGCTCCAGGCGATAATCCACGCCTCCTTGATGGAGGGGTCTTTCCCGCAACCTTTAAAGGAAGCGGTGGTGAGGCCCCTCCTCAAGAAGCCTTCCCTGGACCCAGCTGTTTTGAAGAACTTTCGTCCCGTCTCCAACCTCCCCTTTGTGGGGAAGGTTGTAGAGAAGGTGGTGGCGTCTCAACTCTTGCGATCCTTGGATGAAACCAATTATCTGGACCCTTTTCAATCTGGTTTCAGGCCCGGCTACAGCACTGAGACTGCTTTGGTCGCAATGACCGATGACCTCTGGTGAGCCCGGGATAGGGGTTATTCCTCTATTCTGGTGCTTCTTGACCTCTCAGCAGCTTTCAATACCATCGACCATGGTATCCTTCTGCGTCGTCTCGGAGAGGTGGGGGTGGGCGGCACCGTATTGCGGTGGTTCTCCTCCTACCTCTCTGACAGGTTGCAGTCGGTGTTGGCGGGTGGACAGAGATCGACTCCTAGGCGCCTCGATTATGGGGTGCCTCAGGGCTCGGTCCTGTCCCCCCTACTTTTTAACATCTACATGAAACCGCTGGGTGAGATCATTCGGCGACATGGGGTGAGGTATCATCAGTACGTGGATGATACCCAATTGTATATCTCCACCCCGTGTCCTTTCAGTGAAGCAGTCGACGTGATGTGCCGGTGCCTGGAAGATGTGAGGGTCTGGATGGGGGTGAACAGGCTTAGACTCAACCCTGACAAGACCGAGTGGCTCTGGGTCTTGCCTCCCAAAGGCCAACTGGATGGTCCATCTTTAGTCCTGGGGGGGCAAATCTACCTCCCTCAGTGCAGGCACGCAACTTGGGTGTCCTCCTGGACTCACAGCTAAATTTGGAACAACATCTATCGGCTGTGGCCAGGGGGACCTTTGCCCAGGTTCGCCTAGTGCACCAGTTGCGGCCTTATTTGGACCGGGAGGCTTTACTCACAGTCACTCATGCCCTTGTTACCTCAAGACTGGATTACTGTAGCGCGCTCTACATGGGGCTACCCTTGAAGGGCGTTCGGAGACTGCAGTTGGTTCAGAACGCAGCCGCGAGAGCGATTGTGGGCGCGTCAAGGTACGCCCACGTGTTACCTATCCTCCGCGAGCTGCACTGGCTTCCTGTGGGTCTCTGGATGCAATTCAAGGTGTTGGTTATCACCTTCAAAGCCCTTCATGGCATAGGGCCAGGTTACTTACAGGACCGCATTCTGCCGCACAGCTCCCAAAGACCGGTGAGGTCCCATAGATTGGGCCTCCTTCAGGTCCCGTCGGCCAGACAATGTCGGCTGGTGGGCCCCCGGGGAAGGGCCTTTTCTGTGGTGGCTCCGACCTGGTGGAATCAACTTCCCCCCGAGGTTCGAACTACTCCCACCCTGCCGGCCTTTAAGAAAGCCGTTAAAACTCTCGTGTTTCGGCAGGCCTGGGGCTGATGTCCCCGGGGGGCCGGGGTATGATCGGACTCGCGGTATGACTGTATCATTTTATTGTTTTATGACTGTTTTAACTTTGTACGCCGCCCTGAGTCCTTTGGGATTGGGCGGCATATAAATATTTGTAAATAAATAAAATAAATAAAGTGGTGCTCCAGCTGTTTTGGGATTGCACCCAAGGTGCCTATTACTACCCTTGCTTGCTTTTGCCACAGTCTTTCTATTTCTATTTGTAGGTCTTTGTATTTTGTTATCTTCTCCAGTTCTTTCTCTTCTATTCTGCTGTCTCCAGGCACTGCCACGTCCACTATCCAGACTTTTTTGTCTTTCTTATCGACAATTGTTAAGTCTGGGGTGTTATGTTGCAGGTGCTTGTCTGTTTGAATACTGAAGTCCCAGAGCAGTTTAATTTTATCATTTTCTATGACTTTCTCTATTTTATGATCCCACCAGTTTTTGCTTACAGGCAAATGATATTTCTTGCAGATTGTCCAATGCACCATTGTTGCTACTTTCTCATGCCACTGCTTGTGGTCAGTCTGTGTGATCTTCTTGCCACAGTTTATCAGGTGTCCACTATTTCTTCAGCTTCTTTGCATAGGTGGCACTTACTGTCTGTTGCTGTCTTCTCAATTTTGACTTTATATGCATTTGTCCTTAAGGCTTGGTCTTGTGCAGCCAGAATTAGTTCCTCGGTCTCTTTCTTCAATTTTCCTGCTCTTAGCCATTGACAGGTCTTGTTATTATCTGCTTTCCCAGCTTATTTTTTTAATGTATTGGCCGTGTAGTGCTTTGTCTTCCCATGCCTCTGTTCTGTTCTTCATTTGGTCTTTCTTGTAGGCCAGTTTGGTCTCTCCAGTAGTCAGTAAGTCTTCCTGATATACTAATTTCAGTGCATCTTCATCATTGTTCTTCAGATATTCTTCCAACCATCTGATGTACTTGTAGCATTCCACACCCACCTATTTGCCTTGGTAGATAAAGTCTGTCAATGTCACTGCATGGATGAAGGGCATGATTCATTGTCATTATTTTTCTGGTCTTCCTATCCATTGCTTTTAGTTCTGCTTGAGTCCAGTCCACTATTCAGCTGTGTACCTAATGACTGGAATTGCCCAGGTGTTGATTGCCTTTATGGTATTTCCTCCATTGAGTTTGGACTTTAAGATCTTCTTCACTCTCTTGATATATTCACCTCTAATCTTTTTCTTGACTTCAGTGTGCTTGATGTTGTCAGCTTGAAGGATACCCAAGTATTTGTAGTATTCTTCCTCATCCAGACTTTTAATGTTATTTTCGTGTGGCATCTTGATTCCTTCAGTTTTCACTATTTTTCCTTTTTTGATAGTAAGTGTGGCACATTTGTCCAAGCCAAACTCCATAACAATATCTTGGCTATATATACGGACAGTGTTGAGCAGATATATACGGACAGTGTTGAGCAGTATATACGGACAGTGCAGTCCACTATTCCAGCTGTGTATCTAATGACTGGAATTGCCCAGGTGTTGATTGACTTTATGGTATTTCCTCCATTGAGTTTGGACTTTAAGATCTTCTTCACTCTCTTGATGTATTCACCTCTAACCTTTTATTATTATTATTATTATTATTATTATTATTATTATTATTATTATTATTATTATTATTATTATTATTATTATTACATGACTTTGGGACAGTGTAACTGTCATAAATACATGCCAGTTACCAAGTGTTCCAATTCTGATCATGTGAACATGGGGATTCTGCAATGGTCAAGGGGTGAAAACCTGACATGAGTCACATGCTGTTGTAACTTTGAACAGTCACTTAATGAATGTTTGTAAGTCAAGGACTACCTGTCCACTTAATTAAGGCTCAAACTAGCTTTTATATTCTGGGCATATATATAAAAAGTATCTCATTGCTTTTGTTGGAAAAGACTCATACATATATGAGGTGTAAAAACTGCATACATTTTTTTCTCTGCTTAAAATGAACTTTCATAATTCAGTTTTAATTATCTCTTTTTCCTTTCAAGGGTACTTTAAATGATGCAGATGATCCAAGCACAAGTATTGGAGCATATCACTATATGCTAGAATCAAACATGGGGAAAACAATGCTAGAATTTCAGGTATCTGTGGTAGCCTTTATGTGATTTGTTTGATCCAGACTGTCCAGAATTTTAAAGATATACAAGAATACATATTTTTTCTGAAGTCATTGGAAAACAAGTTAAGGGAAACCATAATTTTTCCTATCAAAAATACAGCTTCACTTTGTTGTTGTTCCTGTTTTCTTTTTCTTTGGACCTTTCATAAGGTGCATTTCAGGTGTTTCATTTCAGCACTGTAGAAAATGATCTTTCAGCCACAATTACAATCTGTGGAATTTGCAGACTGACATTTCTCCTTTTCTACACTGCTTTCCATTTTGGAGTCCAGATGGAAAAAGTTGCATTTTAATGATCTCTGACATGATTTTTATATGCACTGTTTTGTTTTATGTTTGTTTGTGGGTTTTTTTGTAGTATTTTCTTAATTTTCTAATTTTACATTTAAGTATTTAAAAAGCAACATGGTGGCTGGGTTAATCGATAATTCAATAGCGTACAAAAATCTTTAGTACAAATCTCAAGATACTACATCAAATATTTCCTCTCTTTTCCCATTAATATCTACTGTCTCATATTTGAACTAATACAGTTCTTATATCAATTGAGTAAAAATAGCATTATTATATTTATCAATAAATTTTTAGCTTATACATATCCTAGCTTTTACATTCAATCTTTATAGACAATCAATGTCCTGTTATTAGTTTTTCCCAATTTTTAGTTTCCCATCAATATTTAAATTTAACATTTGATATTTATAATTTCTAAGTTTTAAGTAACCAAAGTTTCCTTTATCTCAATTCATAACAAAGTCTAATATTCAAGATACACATCTTATCTAGTTAACTATATTCTATTTCCACCATCTTGCATCATCTAGTTAATAATACAATATAACATCCTTATTTTCAACTAATTCCAAATGACTTAAATTTAATGACCAAAATTTCCCTTATTTCAACATCAAATACTTCCTCTCTTTTTCCCTTAATAATCTATTGTCTCATATTTAAACTAATAGTTCTTATTATATCAACTAAGTAAAAACATGCTTATTATATTTATCAATACATTTTTAGCTTATACATATCTTAATTACTTTTACATTCAGTCTTTATACAATCAATATCCTATTTATTTGTTTTCCCAATTTTTAATTTCCCATCAATATTCAAATTTAATTTTAATATTTATACTTCCAAATTTTAAGTGACCAAAGTTTTCTTTATCTCAATTCATAACAAAATCTAGTATTCAAAATACACAACTTGTCTATTTGAGTATATTCTATTTTAATTAGCAATATAAAATCCTCTCTAATAAATCAAAACCCCAATTTTCTTCAGCCTTATTCTAGCTTTCTTCTTTTCCCAGCTCGCCTTCCATGTCAGTGTTTTTAAGTAATCAAATAGATCTCCCTCTGTTGTTATATATATTAGTTGAAATATGAGAGATCATCCAGTCGCCATTTTTTTGGAAGGGCTAATGAATTATCTCTCTATTATTCCAAATCCCCATAGGTGTCCTGATATGTTTGTCTTCCCTTTGGTCTGTTTTTCTTCTTGCTCCTCAAATTTCTTCTGATTTATATAGAAAATCTTTTCCATTTTCAGTGTTGTCAGCCCCTTTTCTGGATTTTCCATTGACTGTATTTGTTGGTCAGTTGAATCCTCTATCATAGTATTTAATTGTTCCACTTCTTCTGTTATCTTCTGCATAGTTGATTCTTTAATTGTGGTCAAAATTTGGGTTCATATATCTAGGCTGACATCTTGTTCTTTTCTGTAGCATCTTATTTCATCACAAGCTGAAAGAATGGTTTCATATATTGCTTTCAACACAAAAAGAATCTGTTCCTGGTCTTCATCCATATTCTCTTGATGGTGTGTTAAGTTGAGGGCTTTAAAGTCAGAGAATGAAAATAATTTTATAACTGGGTATAGGACACAGCTGAGCTTCTCACAGCTGGTATTTGTCAAGGTTGAAAAAGTCTTATCTATAGTCTGGGCTTCAAACCAAGTCTCCTTTAGACAATAACAAGTTGTAATATCAAATATGGCCACAAGATGTCACCAATGCCGTTTAAGGTTTTTTAAGTCCAAAATTTTTATAATCCTTTTTCCAATTTTATTTCTTTTTTCTAGATAAAAACCAAAGTCTTCTGTAAAGATAAAAAATCTTTTGGTTCCCAAATTTTAGAAGCATATAAATCCAGTTAGATTAAGCTTATTCTTTCAGTGTTTTAAGTCCCCTGAATAGTCAGTCGCCACTATTCTTAGAGGGTGGGATAGACGTTCCCTTCCCTCTCACAGGGAGGGACATGCTTTGGGTAGCTTTTACAGGAAAAGAAAATACTTGGGATTGAAGAGAGGTTCAGATCTCACCCAGTCTCATCTGTGCTGCTTTAGAAGTGCCTAGTGGTATGACTTCGGCTGTCTGCAGCCTAGTGACGGGCCATATTTCTATGGCTGGTCTTTCATCTGCCAGTTTGGAGGGCTGCCCTGGACCGAGCGGAAGGACTACCGTCCTCCCATGGTCAAGCAGGGGTCCCCTTCTTGCTTGTCGCCTCTATAGGGTTACTCTCGACCCTTGCCAGAATCCCCCAGTGGAGCAAAACCGAATGCAGAAGACAGAACTTGCCTTCCAGCAGCCGCAGCGGCCACAATGGCAAACCGGAAGTCTGTTTTGTTTCATTGTTGTTGTTGTTGCTGTTTTGATGTTTCAGCCCTCTAACCATGTCTGTCCAATCAACAAACTTCCTTTCAAAGTTTAGCTCTTACAGCTCTTGGTTTCTTTTTTCTTGGCTTTCTGTATTAATCTATGAAGAGCTTGATTTTTATTACGGTAGTAATCTAAAATCAGATAAAGTATTATTTTATAATTTTACATAAAATAGAATAAAATACTAAATCAATACCAGATCAATCCTAAATTAACTAAACATATATTAAATCTTAAAAATCAGGTCAGTTGTCAATTTAGAACAGTTGTCTCCAACCTTTCTAGCGTGGCAGCCCAACCCATGCGGGAGGGCGTGTGAGTGGCAGGTGCACGTGCATGCACACAGCTCCATTTGTGTGAGTGATACGCGTGCACCCTTCACTCAAACAAATGGAACTTTGCACATGAGCGAAGGATGCTTGTGCTTGCGTGAAGCTGCACTCACATGAGCAAAAGGTGCTTGAGCGGAGGGCACTTGTGCTCATGCAAAGCTCCACTTGCGCAAGTGGAGGGTGCTCATGCAAGTGGAGTTTTGCACGCCCACGCACTTGCTCATTTGTCCCATGACCTGGTTTCTAACAGGCTGCAGCCCGGTAGTGGGACACAGCCTAGGGGTTGAGGACCCCTGATTTAGAATCTCCATTTATTAGTTATTGCTTTTTAAAAAATAAAAAGGGCAATAAAATAGCATAGCATCTCAAAAGAAAGTCCTATTTCTTTCGATGGATGCACTTCCAATAAATGTGTAGGATATTACAACATTAACAGAAAAAAAGATTTGACCCTAGCAATGAACTAACACTGTCTTTAAAAAAAGAGGTCTAGAGTTAAACTAGCTCTTGTCAAAGTAGAGAAATAACCTTCGTGCTTGAGTTTTACTGTTCTAGTTCTACTGTGCTTTGCAGAGGAAGTGTAATTTCAAATCTAATCCAAAGCTTACATACCAAATCCTATATTTTCATTTAAAAATGCTATACAATAACTAGTTGTTAATAAAAATTTATACATTTTCTAAAATTGATTTGAAACCAGATTCTAGTCCTGGGCTTCTGAATGCATCCTTCTTGTTATCTCACCTCCATACCCCATACCCCTAGGAGCTTATGATCGTGTTTCAGCTTCTGCACTGGAATGGAAGCCTTAAAGCCCTGCGTGAAACCAAGTGTTCTCGGCAAGTAAGTAGCCTTCTAAAATGCAACACTAATTGTCAGTTATTCCCAACATTTGTTTTTTAAAAAAATCTTCTTGAAGTTCTGCTGTGTAATATGCTTCCTCTTTTCTGTAAGTCATTTATTGTGGTTGTCTGGTTTAACCAACTAGTGATTTTTAAATCCCATTGCTAGAAAATATTTAGTTTAAGTTTAACGCTTTTCCAACTGAGATGCCATTCTTTGTAATCAGTATTGCATCTAAGACATCAGAGCATGAACTGGGCATCACAACTCAGGAGAGCAATCAATGAAAATACAATATGGAGGCAGAGAACGCCCAAGAAAAATGTTGTAAAATGTATAATCAGAAAGCGTGAACAAGAGTTGGGGTGGAATGAATAGGATCTACACGTATAAATGTAAAACATATATACATAACACCAAACATTTTAAAAAATAAATAAACACAATAAATCTTTGATTTTAATAATATATAGTTCTGGCTTATGTTAGTAGTAAACAGAAATGAGTAGGCAAAATTCATTTCATGTTAAACATATGCTGAGAAATATTTCATACAGTCCAATAAACATGTTTTATTTTTATTATTGTAAGTAATTACTAAATTAATTAACAATCACATCTAACTTCAGTTTTTGCTGATGGTAAACTGGTAAGGAGGAATCCTCTCGGAGAGAGCCTGAATTCTAATAATACTTCCTGTATTTAGATGAAAAGCTGAAATATTAACTCTGTAGCATAAAAGATCCCATTTTAAAGAACCATGGCAGCCCTTATCAATACAAGCTTGCACACTATTTGGTAATACACTTTATAGATAGCCAAAAAGCATGCAAAATGAAAGATCGTGATCTGGTAGGGTATGGAAATTTGAAAACAATGGATATGGAAATTTGAAAACAATAATTAAAAGGGCTTTAAAATCTTTTAAGTACAATTTTGAATTTTATGTCATTAGTAAATAATTCAGTCCTTGCTGTACATTAACCTAAGGCTTTTGGGTGTGCCTTCAAGTCAGTGATGACTCCTGGTGATTTCCGAGACTGCTGCCTTGTATGAAGTAAAAAAAAGATGACCTTGACAGGTGAAGGTAGACTCGCAGCATTCTGGTACTATAGCCAACCTTAATAAAAGTATTTTTAGCCCTATATGGATTTTCTTTCTTGGTCTGGTCTATGTCATATGGCTGACATTGCAGTATTCTTGGTAATCTTTTCAGAAATGGTTTGCTATTGCTTTCATCCTGGCCCAAAATTTTCTAGCTAGCTTCATGCCTAAGGCATGACTAGAACTCATAGTCTCCTAGTTTCTAGCCTAGTACCTTTTTAGCCACTACTCCAAACTGACTCACCACCCTCTTAGTTGCTCACATTAAAGCTCCTACACAACTAGGGCTGCAGTTCATCACATTTCCAATAAGGGAGAATATTTGTAGCTCGGTAGAAATGAGGGGGTCCTTGGTGCTCTCTGAACTTGCTTGTTTTCTTGCAAACGTTTCATTACCCTAACTAGGAAACCTCATCAGTGCTAATCTAACATCATCATCAGTGTTGTTAGGTAACTAGATAACTAGCACTGATGAGGTTACCTAGTTAGAGTAATGAAACATTTGCAAGAAAACAAGCAAGCTCAGAGAACACCAATGACCCCTCATGACATGTTTCTTTGGTGGGATATGTTACCTGGTTCTCCAATATCTATATTTTAGGTTGTGTTTAATTTGCTATATTGATTACTAACTCTTCTTTCTGGGGTGGGTGGGTCATAGGAAGTGATTTCCTACTATTCCCAATACAATTTAGATGAAAGGATGAGAAGTCATATGGCACTGGACTGGCTGATGAAAGAGCAAGAAATTCCGGGCATTATATCACAAGAGCTACAAGTGGCACTTAGAGAGCTCGAAGAAGCAAGGAAAGCTGGGCAAGAGTTGCGGTTTTACAAAGAAAAAAAAGAAATCCTTGGCCTGGCACTGAGTCAACTGTACAGCGATTCTGCAACTACCTCTTCAAATGATGATTGCATGAGCCTAGTCCTCAGAGGCTATCGTTAGCCTACATTTGAGAGTTGGGGTGATAGTATGGCTGCATCTTGGTTATTCAGATCAATATTAAGGAACTGTTTACCTCACCTAGTATACTGTGTAATGTACTACCGTGTTTCCCCAAAATAAGACCCAGTCTTAGTTTTTTTCCTCCAAAAGAGGCACCAGGTCTTATTTTTTGGGAGGGTGTCTTTTCCATTCATTTCGCCATGGCAGTAGCAACAGCCCTGCCCAGCCAGCCCACTTCTTCTGTGGCCAAGGAGCAGTTTAATTCTGCAGCTGAGAATGGAGCTCAGGCCTGCATTTTGCAGTGAGAGGCATTTCCAGAAGGCCTTTGCAGCAAAGAACTGAGCTACAGATTGAATCCATAGCTCAGTTCTCAGCTTTCTTCCGGAAAGGCCTCTGTCTGCAGAATGCAGGCCTGAGCTCCATTCTCAACAGCAGAATGAAACTGCTCCTTCAGCCACAGAAGAAGTCGGCCGGTGAGGCAAGTGTCAATCCATGGCTGCAATAGTAAAGTCCACTCCTCACCCCTGCCCTAGCCTGATTTTTAGGCATGTGTCCCACCCCAAAATTAGGGCTTATTTTAACAGTAGGGCTTATATTAGACCCACCCCCCAAAAACAAGCTGGGGCTTATTTTCAGGGTAGGCCTTATTTTGGGGGAAACACGGTAAGCTGAAAGTCTCAGATTTCTTCTTTGATGAGAAGTATTCTAGGTACATAAAGAATCCTTGTATATCAAACTAAAGTTCCCAGGAAGTATGGAATGGACGTTCTCATGCAAAGTCCGAAACACTTTGGAGTCACTTCTCAGATGTTCTCAGCTTTACTGACTGTCACCACAGCAAAAAAGCACATGTATTTTGGCACTGAAAACAGTAATTTAGAATTATTCAGCATATTTCCTGCAACAGTGTTTTCCATCTATCTTCACATGAAATAATGATAATTTAACAACCAACTTTTTAGTCTGCTTTTAAGATTGCTTAACTTAAGACCTTCAAGCAAAATTATTCAGTTCTACTAGCATTTCATTTATCATGGATTTCTGATTTAGCAGTAATCTTGACTGATTAGCTTTTTGTTGTTTCTGTATCAATACATTGTTTGTCACTCACAGTCCAGACAATCTACTCTGATTGTCCGATGCACTGTGCTTATCTGTAACACAAAAGAGTCAAGTTATATTACTATATTATTGTGAATAATCTTATATTCACAACATTGCCACAAAATGCTATATGTAGCATACCAAGTAAATTGGGTGGGGTTTTTAGTATCCACAGTTGTCCTCCTTGTGGTACAGCAAATATTAAAATGAGATCCATTGTCTACACAGAATTACAAGAATGGGCAAATGAAGGAACCATCAAATTAAAATGGCTATTGTGTATTTCATTAATGTATTCTGTTTGATCATCCTCCTATGTGGAATTTGGACAGTAATTCTGTAAAATAAAATGTTCTGAAACTTTCTCAGAAAATAAAGCAAATGAATGTTTTGCATACAGGTAAAACACAGAAAAAAGAGAGTTACTGTGATAGCTTATTTCTCTGGGGCATAAAAATATATTATAAGGCTTCTTTCATTCTGTGATTTGTTTTAGGATAAGTGTTCTTGAAGCCCAACTTTGTAATCAGATGTCAAAGATGTCAAAAGAGAAGCAAGTTTGCCCAGGGAGAAAACTAATCTGCCTTTTGCAAGGCAGGAAAGGTAGAGGAGGACAGAAGTTCATTTGATTTTATTTTCAACATAAAATATGAGTCTTCTGAAATCTCTAAGCAGTCAGGTCCATTGATTTGCATTCAGTGTTTCCAGTTGCTTTCAGCCTAAATGTTCTCCTCTTGCCATTTCTTATCTTACCACATCTAAACCTATGTTTATCTTAGAAACATGGGGTGAAATATCGCAGAAACAAAAGTTGTCTGCATCTGTTGTGGATATGGGGAGCGGAGTAGAAGAAAAGGTCACAGTTTATGTCAGCTCCTCTGATTCACCAGCTGCCTTCCTATTGTATTTTTGAAAAGGGGAGGAAATTGCAAGTAAAATACATGTGCCATGACTCTTTGTCTGGTAATTTCATTTCCATAGGTGCTTTCTCCTAGCAGTAGGAGACCTTGCTGATTGTAACAAAGACCTACTTGAGTTCACCACTTGTTTGTAAAAAGCCAAGGCTCCTTTGCTGCTCTGCCATTGAAGAGGGGTTTGAGGAGGCTCTGTCTGGCCACGTGGGCTACTTCATCCCAAGCATTGCTATTTTCACACAAATTGAAGGTTGGGTTAACAGGATCCAGCACAAACGGCCTACGAGAGAGAGAAAATATCCCATATTGACAGGTGATGATTTATTGGACATTCAAATATGCCATGTGACAAGACACTTGGATGAGTCCATCTACTCCTAATGTTCAGACATGCATACATCCCCTTTCATCCAGTGTAGAGTTCCAGCTCTACCTGTTCATCCTTTTCACAAATCTTCTTCATTCCCATGGGCCATTGCTTTGGTACAGCATTGCCTTCTGCAGTAACAATTTAATCCTTCAGATGGCTATTAAAATGTGTCTAGAACAAAACTCAGAAATATAGAGCAAGCAAATTTGTGCTCCATAAGTGTAACAGAGCCATTCACTAGGAAGAGCATAGAACATTGATAAAATATCACAAGCCCAGTCCTTCTTCCTGCTTACTAGACTGGGTCTATAAATGAAGAACAGTCAGATATACAGAAGTTTTACTTACCTGCTTTGCTTCAAAAGCATTTTGTGGAAAATTGAAAAATTTGGTCTGTAGTGTCTGTGCCATGTGATGCATATCTCTTGATATTGAGTCAAAAGCTTCAGGACAGCTCTCATTCCCTGTACAAAGCTGAAAAAGATGGGCTTTCCAGCCAGTTCCCAGACATAAATGGTGATCAATTCAATTGTATACGAGGAGGGAAGCCTGCGAAACCTAAAGGCAGAGAAAAAGATTCAGTCAGAGAAGTTTCAATTGCAAGAAATGGTTAATAGCAAAAGTCAAAACCCCAAAATGCTAAAAACCAACAACAAAATGTCATTTTGTTTTTAACTTTCAATTTGTTAACTGCTCCTTGCATAGGAAGAGCTGTGGACTTAGCATTTTTCATAGTTCTCCTGTTGCCATCAAGCTTTTGATTTATATTTTCTAATTTACAAATTAGCCATCAAATGGAGCTGAAAAAGACATGGAAAAAAATTATAAAAATCTACGAATCACACCTCTACTGTATTAGAAGTGTTTCCCGTTATAAAGCTGGGAAACATGAAAATATGAAGATTAAAAAACGAGAGCTTTAGATGCTAGCAACTTACTTATTTTCTTTGGTTGGTTCAGCAAATGAAGTTTTGAACCAGTGCTTCATTAGACGTATGAAATCCTTCACCGTTCCTGTTGATGCTTTGACAAATTCAGCTTGGTACTTCAATAACGCCATGGTGTACAGCTGGATCTTATCATCATCACTGCAAAGGTACAGCTTATGATAAAAGCTCTCTTTTGGACCTGTTAATACCAAGCAATCTATAAGACTAATGGTGCTGCTTTGACCTACTGAATCTCTAGATCTTAACAAAAACCAAACCTTACAAATTTTGAGCTCCTGGAAATATTGCATCAACCTAAATCTAAATACTAAGGTAGAACATCCCAGTAGTGATGTTTTGGTGAGAGGAAGAAGAACTGCTTTTGTAAATAATAGCCACATCTTACCTGTTGATAACACAGATGCAAACATGTCATAGCAAGGCATGACGTCAAATGAGTGACCATGATGATTTTTATAACACTTAAAATAGAACCTCAAGGAAAATTTTGTGCTTTTCTGCATGACTAACCTTAAAAGAGGAGGAAAGTAAAAGATATAATGGTGCTTTAATGTAACAGCTTTACTGTAATTAGGAGGTGGGGGGGGGGAATGAAAGTAGAAGACAAAAGAACATGAAACAAATAAAAGTTCAAACCTGGCTGTCCATGAGGATTTTATCAGGGCATTTCCTAACTCTTCTAGGACCTCTGGAGTTGTTCTTTGGCAGTCTTCTAAACTGGCAAAAGCTTTGCTAAAAAGAACTATGTCCACATCAGAAAAGTCTTGGGTGTCCGTTCCTTTTACATATGAACCACCCTGTTGCATAGAATATTACCCCAAAAGATGGTTAACACTTGATTTTAACCCACATAGTCTTGAATACTTTAACAGCAAAACAGAAATACCAGCTGCACACATGCAGTATTTTAGGCTATTAGCGGAAAACAGGTGCACCACACTAAGCCACTTACAGAAAGGATTACTGGACTTTCACAAAAGTAGATCATGCCATGTGTCCAAGTGTCTTTAAGAACGTGCTTACTCTAAAAAACAAGGATCAAATATGAGGGGGATTGTTTTTTTTTACTATCAACCCCAGCAAAGGAACTTTATCTCATCTAAGCTCAAAAATAAACAACTGAGAACTGGAGATATCCACATTAGACCATTGCAAACCACTATGGTGCATCATGTAGACTATTTTGTAATCCCAAAGATTTACTCACTAGCATAAAGAGGAAGCCAAATAAAAGAACTAGACTCCTGTCACAAAGGCAATCCTTGTAAGTCATGTGAATGACTATAACTGAATAAGTCATATTCAGGCTTATTGCCTAGCTTTTTGACAATTGTCTTAGTCATAGCCCAGCATATCCAGAGATTATCAAATTTTGTTTGCAATTATTTGAAATTCTTCAATTGATTGTATCATTTCAATATGGACTTTTGTTCCTGTTGATTAATACAGTTACTTCTGCTTTTTACATGATTTGGAAAATGATGAATTTAATCTGTTTAACAAGATACTATAGAAAAGGACCATTTTCTATCCCTTACACTGGATTTGTATTGTCATTAAGAAGGCATATGCTCTCAGAATACACTTGATTAATTTTTAATTTAGAGCAACATTCTAAATTATATAAATCTGGTTTATATAAATTTCTTTGTGATTCATCTATCAAAGCATCTGAGTATCTTGTGGAGGTTGGAAAACAATTTTGGTTTCAACAGTCAATTTTTCTTGCTTTGCTTTTTGAAAGGAAGCAGTTACTATTTGCTTTTTCTTGTGTAACCCAACACCACTCATACACTTGATAAATCTCAATGTACATGTCTGGAGATACTTCAGTAGTTTAGTCTAACATTATAGTTTGATGCAATACAATTTACCTCAGATTGCCACACATTTTTTTTCTTTAGCCTTCCCTCATTTTGCCTGCATTTCTAACTATTTTCCTTGATGAAGAATTCTTTGAAATGTGAAAGTTTGCTAGAAGGTTTAATCTAATCAAGGTATTACTATGGTATGGATTTCAGGGTTATGATTAGGACTTAAAGACAGTTCCCAATAATCTGGCCATGATCCTGTTAGCCCCATTCTCCTGAATTCTGGATCTGTATTGGATGACTAGGTCTTCCTGTTCCTACCAATTTGGCCTTTTGCCATCTTCTGAATCTTGATTTTACCACTGAGTGTTGGCTAGATGCATTAGTTATGCATGGACTTTATCACCTTAGAACAGGATAATTAACTATGAAGCTTTACAGAAAAATTCCTTAATGAAATATGGCATATTTCCAACACATATCTCACGCATCATTGATCCATAAAATTAATTGCCTGGGGATCCAAGACTTTCATCTGCTTTATCAGTTGCACTGCTTCTTACAGATAATACATACAATATAGCTGTCCTACATAATGCCCATCCATGCGTTCATTTTGCTTCCATATGCATAATAGCTCACTGCCATACATGTGAATGGAACACATTTTTCAAATCAATTCCACATGCTTTTTTCCTTAAACAGAGATTAAGATGAAGAATATAATGCATGAAGAAATCTTAAAACACTTGATTGAATTAGACACCAGAGACCTCAAAAGTTCAGAAAGCGACAGTGATTCAAAGGAATTATACTTTATTCAAAAATGTATATACTGCTTCCCATAAAATATTGCCTAATTCTTAACTTTGGTCATGGTAAATCATATCCAGGTTTTGGTGCTATCTGAATGTTAAAAGAGGAATTATTCAGGTCCCATATTCACTTCAGTAACAGTCACATTGACACAGGCAAGATGGTCCTTGATTCAAATCTCATGAGATTGAAAGAGCCAGGTTACTGCAATAGAATTTGATGAAAGGGCCACAGATTGGTAATTTACAGAATATCCAAATATTCCATCAGATAATAATATCATAGTAAAACATCCTGGCAAAATCTCTAGCCAAGGGGAAAATGCATATATTTCTCTAAGTAAATTGAGCGTTCCTATAACAGATCAGTCTCACTGCAAAGCATTACTCTTGAGAAGAAATATGAAATGGATGATACTGATGAGAAACTAATGTGTATATTTTGCACACAAACTCGCTAATCCAATTATGTGGACAGTTAGTAAAATATGAAATGTCAGATTAAAAAAAAGTAACTTTTTAATAGGGAATGAGAATGTACTTTTGTGATCAGTCTCAAAACAGATGCATAGGAAATATAAATACCTTGATAACTGAAGTTATTGGCAATGGAAAAATTTCTTTGATAAATGCAATAATGCCTTCAACTTCTGAGGTACAGGCTAGCCTTACAGGACCCAAAATGGGTCTGAGTTTTTCTTCCACAAATGCATTTATCTCCATTGGTGTTGTATATTCCAAGAAGCTTTCAGGCTTAAATTTAGTGGCCATTTGAGCTGTACCAAAATAAATAAATAAATATAAAGACAAATTACAGATTTTCTTAAATTATGATTCATGGCTATTTTGCATTGAATTAGTAACTCCTTTGGAGCTTACTGCTATCATCAGTACCCTAACATAGATGTCTAAGAAAAAAATGTGGGGTTCTTTGCAAGAAATTTCCTTTAAATTTTGGAATGTTCTGCAAGCCAAGATAACTCTGTGTGAAATGAATGATGCCATTTGAGCTGGGTGGCTTTGGAGTTGGGGCCAGAATGGCAGTTCTTTTTCCCCATTACTTGAATAGAGCCAATTTGATCAGCCACTTAGCTCTTTACAGTACCAAGGTTTTGTGTGACTGTGGAGAGAAAGCACAACCTTCCCCTCAAATCCTTATGTTCCCAAGATGTTCCTAACTTTAATCCATTCCTGTTTACTCAGCATACTTTAGTCAGTCAATAAAGAGTGAGGCAACATGCAAATTAGAAGTTTTAATCTGAAACTTTCATAACTAAAACAACGCCATTCTGTCAGGCATGTCATACTGTATGAACAACTGATCTGGTTGCTAACTGCCCCTTCTCCATTCTGAGATAGAAATTAAAATCTAGAAAAACTTTCAAAAAATAGACCATCTTTAGGAAGTCTGTCTATGTTTCATTTTAATTTTGATTCCTACATGATTCTCTATAGTTCAATGAGTAAAAATTCTGGAAAATAAAAATCCCCCACTTGCTTCTGAGATATGTCATACTTCTTACGAGAAAATGGTCACTCATTAGTTGATGATCATTGGAAATTGTTACACAGCCAATGTACAGAGTTGTGTCCATAACCAATATATCAAACATATGGTGGAATGTAGCCTGAATTCCAGGAGGGAGGGCTGCATTCCAGAGGATCAAAAGACAGCAAAGTTTAGATAGTTTGGTTTGGAGGAACAGGATCAAAACAGTTCCTTCCCAGAAGTTCTCAGAGTATAGTGCAACTAATTTGCTTTAGTTTGGCAAGATTCTGTTTGTAGGTGAGGAATAATAAAGGAAACTGCTTAGAACAAGGATCCCCAACCTTTTTGATTCCACGGACTGGTGGCAGTGGTGGTGGTGGCTTTGGCAGTTTTGGTGGCAGAGGGGAATGGTTTTGTGCACGCAACTTAAATCCCATGCACACACAAATGAAGCTTCACATGCTTGCCTGCCACTTGATTGCTGCTGCCCAGTAATGGTCCGTGGCCCAGGGGTTGGGGACACCTGGCTTAGAAAAACCTTGGTTTGCCTTTCTTGGTCTTTGGGCCTGATAGAACATGATCACCATATGTTTAATAGCTTACCCTGTTGTTGTACTGAATATTATAATTTCATGGCAACTTTTATAGTGGTTTTGGAAGGCCATAATTTGCATACCTTGTAGCAGGAAAACACAACATATGGGGCAGCTTTAAAAAGTAAAATTGAAATCACACAGACCCTCAGCAATGAAAGACTTCAGAGCTAAAGTTCAAAATAAAAATATCACCTCTTTTATTGGCTGTAAAGTGGTGCTTCTGTTTCTCATGGTGTTCCCTTGCATGGACTGATCCAAACCGCTTGCAGCACATTCTGCAAGATATGGCTGTTTCCATGGCTACAAATTTAGTTTCCCTTTTCAGTGTCATATTCCAGCAACTCCTTTGATTGTTCACCAGTACCACTTCATGCTCATCCTGTTAATCAGTGATCTATATGAGTGAATTAATACTGAATCACCTGGATCAGAGGTCAAAGAAATGAATAACTCGAGGAAGAGATAACACAAATTTAAATTTTATTGAGGTAGATTGAAAACCATGGGAAGCTAACATTCTCTTTCTGCAATAGCCAATCAAACATTCATTGGAAACCCTGCAAATTTTACACAAAGGCATTATCTTCTCCACCTATGCAGCAGGTATTAACTGGAATTACAGCTAGTCCTCATTTAGTGACCACAATTTGGAGCACTTGCTCAGTCATTAAGCAAATCTGTCAATAAGTGAAACTGCAGCTTTCTTTTCCTTTAGAGCCCATGTAAGTTGTAAATACAAGAATTGGTTACAAAGTTACATTTTTCTCACTATTGTATCTGTGCATGGTTGCTGTTGGAGGCAGTTGTTCAACAAAGACTACCTGTAGTAAATGTTTATCATGACTTTATGAAGCTTTATACTCCTTGAAATTGTTCCATGAATCTGCTGATCTTTGCAGTCCTTCAAAATAGTGACATCACTTTATTTGGGGACAAAGAGTAGGTCAATCATATAATATGGAGAAATATGTCCATCAATCTGTTCCAAATTTTCCACCATATAACTTCCATGGAAAAAAGCTCCATTTTTCCATCTACTTTCTCCATACTATGTAACTTTATTTATTCCCCAAGCCCCTGAAAATGTTGTGATTCTATCTCACAGGAAAGCCCTTTGATCATTTTGGCTGTTCTTTTCTGTCTTTTTTCTGTTCTACAATATATTTTTACTACACTGTAATCAGAACATCACAATGTTTAAGACACACATTTTGTGTTTAAATCTCCCCCCAGGAAGGCAAATTCCCTAATTTTGACCCAGATATAGAATTTTCAGCATGCAACGAGTGCTTTAAGCTTTTGTAAGACTTAACATAGCATTTCATCCCTTAACACATCTTCCCCCCAAAGAGGGGAAAACCAAACTGTTGAAATAGCCTTGAACATCTGAGAATAGTATGTTCTTACAATGTATCTCTCTGTAGCTGGTAGCCAGGAAAACAAAAAGGGGTGTCAAACTCAATTTCACTGAGGGCCGCATCAGCATTGCGGTTGCCCTTGGGGGGCTGGGTGAGTGTGGCCAGAGTGGGTGCAGCCTACTGGGTGGGCGTGGATGGAGTGGATGTGGCCAGTTCTACATCATTTGCATCAAGGATGCCCATGGGGGCCTGGGCAGGAATGGGACATATCTGGGGGTATCTGGCAGAAAGGGGTGAGACCGGGGCAAGTGTCAAAACATGGTCCACTGGAGGAAGTGTCAAGATGGTCACCACAAAATTGTACATTGGCTCCCGGCCAACCTCGGCCAGGGCCAAGGCAGCGGGGGCTGTTCCCTCACTATTTCCAGGATGGCTTTGTGGGCCACATGAAACCACTTCGCGGGCCGCATCCAGCCACCAAGCATTGTGTTTGACATGTTTGTTGTAGGGGGTCTGTATTCAAACAGATCTTAGTAGTGCAATTAGTGCAAGAATGATAACTCAAGGTAAACAAAGAGATTGCTAAGGAACTTGCAGATGTCTCAAAGTTCATTTCTTCAACCTTTGAGGAATCATGAAGAATGACTATAATGCCCGTGATTTCTTAAATGGTTATATTGAGAGGAATAATTGTTTCTATCTTCAAAAGTGCGTTAGGAAAAATCAAAGGTCTGAGTATAGGATGGGGCAACTATATTGGTAACAGTTCACACAAAAAAGTTCTGGGTGTCTAGCTATAACACAAGATGAACATGAGCCAAAACTTTGACACAGGTGCAAATAAGAATAGTAATAATAAGCATAATGTCAATATGACAAGAAATCATTATTCCTTTCTATTCTGTAATGTCCAAACCTAGAATATTGAAATCACATTTTATGAAGGACATTGTTAAATTGGAGTGTAGTTAGAAGAGATGAGCCAAAAGTGACCAGAGGCCTGGAAGGAAAAATGTATCAGGAGCAGGTGAAGCTGTTGAGTATATTTAGTCTGAAAAAGGCTAAGACTGCAGGGATATATCATAATTGTTTTCAAGTGTCTGATGTAGGACACTTGCAGGAAATAAGCCAGAGTTGTTCTAGAGGACAAGAGAATTAAAAATGGATCTAAATTACAAGGAAGCAGTTGTCAGTGGGCATCAGGGGGAAAAAACCCCTCCTAACTGTAATAGCTGATCAACAATACAGCAAGCTGCCTCAGGATGATGGATGATGGATGCTTCACTGGAAATCTAAAGCTAAATGGCCATTGTTGGGGACTGTAGTGCATTTCCATCCTGAGAATGCTATGCTTCAACGGCATGCAATTTGCACACTGACAAATGCCTTGCTCAGTCACTTGGCCACCTCATTCCGTGCCATCTGCAGGTTTGGAGGAAGAAACAAGGATATCCCCATATGTACTGCATTACAATAAAATGAAAGTGGAGTAACTATTTCATGAACAATAGCTATGCTATCTCTATTCAGGAAAGGGCATAAAGAACATAAATATATAGCCAAAGGACATAAATATACATTCCAAGCTATAAAGATTATTGGTTGACTGTAGCATCCTCCATTATTCATTGATTCATTCACTCCTTAATTCATACCAATAACATTCCATCCTTTTTCTTATGTTCCTCAAAGTTGGTAAAAATAATAAATATACTTAAAATGTTATTGCAAAAGAGGGGAGGAGAGTGCAGATGGAAATAGAAAGCTTGCGGGAACCTTGCTCTTGTGTATCTAAAAATGACTCTCAGAAAATAAGGGAATTCCTAAACAGTTTCTTAATGTCTGAATCTATATACTACTAAACACTCTTGTCTGTAACCTTTAACTAGGCGAAACAGCATCATAGAGCAACCATTTTTGAACCAAGGTACCTCAAATAAGCTAACTTAGAGTATGCATCCAAAATCCTGGACTCATGACTCTCATGGGATTGAAATTGAGCTTCACCATCACCTGAATTTTCAGTAGACTGGTCCCATCCTAGCCTTCCAGGTAGACTGGCCCCTCTGACCATTGGAAATTGGGTAGACCAATCCTATCCTAGCCCTCCAGAGGCCCGGTAGGTTGGTCCCAGGGTGATCAACTGCAATCAAGACAGCAGGAAGTCAGAAGTTGTTCCTGTTCCCACTGTTTGTTTTGCCCTTGTTTAGGTAAGAAAATATCTGCCTCTCTGTTTAGGTAAGAAAATATCTCTGAAACAATGACTCAGTGAGTCACGGGTTGTCTAGTGGTTCATATTTTCAGAGGCAGCCTCCCAGATTGCCCAGCATTAAATCAATCATGCTTAGAAAGCAATCAAATCAATCCTGATTTTTCAGTTTGGGTATAATGTACTCCTAATACAATAGTATTCTCATAGGGCCTTTATTCCCCTCTTTTTTCCAAAAAAGCACTTCCAGGTACTTAATAAAGTCATTCAGTGACAACAACAGCAACAGAACTTAACTAAGAATGAATAAAATTATATCTTCCAGCTTACCTTTGAGTCATGTGAAGGAGCCTCACATAAAATCTCGGCACTGCATGTTTCACAATGAACCCTCCCAAGATGCTTAGCGTGAAAATGATATCTCAGAGCCGCACGGCTAACAAAGTCATTCCCACATCTTTCACAGTTATATGACTTCTGCTTTATACCCCACATCCTGTAAAAACACAGAACCAGGCTTTTAAAAAGCACTTTTTAAGCATTTTGATCATAATACAGTACAATAATATAACTGCTATGTACATAAGAGCAATCAAATCTGAACAAATTGCCACAGATATCAGTCTCCATATTTAGAATAAACTGATTCAGTTCTGATCAGCTTGGAAACAGAGAAACCATCCAGAACCTAAACCCTCTAATTTATTTTAAGAATGCTGGTTTCTTTTTCAGATTCATTTTCATCTCCCTAGTTTAATTAGAAAGGAGTCATTTTCTGCCAAAAAGAAATCTTACTTGCCAAAACCATTGTGTCCTTATTTCACGCAAGTGTGTTTGTTTCATTATTGCCCAGTTACCCTGCCAGCTGGCCAAATCATTTCTGTACCACCCCTACTGGCTTGGAATTGTGGGTGTTGTAGTTTATGCTACCTTAATAAGAGACTTGGAAATTTCACTTCATAACAAACTTGGTTCTAATAGCATTGGAATAATAGATGTAAACATGCAGTATGCATTGCAGCTCTTGCACATTTTTACAGTGCCTGGAAGAAGAGTTTGATATGAGACCTTAATCCATATATTTTATTTGTTGTCAAATTCCTGATATTTTGAATAATGTATAAATGGAAGTTTTGGCAATGTGGGGCAATGTTTTATCACCAATTATTGGATGTATTTTTCTCCATATTTCCATCACATAAACTGTTTGATTACAGTGAAGAAGCTGGCAGCTCTTTTTGCTTTGTTAGCAGAGAAACAACTGGCAGGACTGAAGATCTGAAATCTGCAATGTTTCCTGGTGGGGGTTTATTGAATGATAAAATTCTAAAATCCATGTACTGGGCAGATTAGAGAATTGATTCTGTAAATTAAGATAAGAAGAAAGCAGGAATGTGATCTCTTTCTGTTAGTCTACTTCTGCTTGCTTAAAGAATGTATGCTAACTAAGCCACAGTTCAGTTAATTTATGGTCTGATGAATGAATCATTTCGCTGGATAATACATATGTTTTTGCATTAAACTGTGATTTTGTTATCTTAAATATTTATATTGCTTGCTACTATTGGGATTCTCTGAACTGTTATTTCAGGTTTTCTTATTGATGGTGTGAGCTGCCTAGAATTATATTTGTTGTTGTTGTTGTTGTTGTTAAATGCGAATTCGTGTCCGACCCATTGCGACCCCATGGACAACGTTCCTCCAGGTCTTCCTGTCCTCTACCATCTTCTGGAGTCCATTTAAGTTCACACCTACTGCTTCAGTGACTCCATCCAGCCATCTCATTCTCTGTCGTCCCCTTCTTCTATTGCCCTCAATCTTTCCCAGCATTAGGCCCTTCTCATTAGGTGGCCAAAGTATTTGAGTTTCAACTTCAGGATCTGGCCTTCTAAAGGGCAATCGGGGTTGACCTCCTCTAGGACTGACCGGTTTGAACGCCTTGCAGTCCAAGGGAGAATTATATAGAGGCTATTAATATTTTCAGCAAATATTAATAAATAATGAAATATGGTTTGCAATGTTCAATATGACCTAGTTCACACAATATGCTAAGTCCAAATAAAGCAAGCCATATTATACATTAAGTTTGATGCACCCACCCAATCACTGCATTATTGCCAAATCAGATCATTCATCTACCTCCTTCATCATGGCTTGTATGATTTCAGGATTGCCCTCCAGGACTTCTGATAGGCTGAATGAGTATATTAAACATTAATCTGAGAGGGTTTTGTTAAAATTTCAGGTATTCAGAAAACCTCAGGCTTTTATGTCCTGCTTTCTTTTAAGTCAGGAAAATAGGCTGAACCTTCTGATGTCAAGCTGTCACTGAGTACAGAATCCTGGTCAGATGGGAATTCTCAGACCCTAGAATGCTGGGCTGGAGAAAGGTTGGTGACAGAATCAGAACCAGAACCAGAAGCGTAAGAACAAGGGAGCAGGGAAGTCACACCTCTCTGATTCTTGAATTCAGCTGCTTGAGATAACAAGTATACTTATTATTTTCATATTCCCCAGCCCAGACTAATGTGAATACTAATGTCTTTCATTGTAAGAAAACACCAAAAGGAGGAATTCTGGTCAGTCTTGCCCAGAATAGGAAGACTTGATTTTTTATTTTTATTTTTGACACTTATGTATGAAAGTGTTTTTAATTTGATTTCTTGGATTTTTCAATTATCTATGCAAGTATATCACAATGTAATGTAATTTGATAATTGCATCAAAGAAAAGAGAACTCCTACTTTTTACGGCCTTTTGGGTGGAACATTTTTTACTATATCTTTATGCATCTATTCCTTTAGCCCGGGTGATTTAGATATGGTTAAAAAAAAAATCCTCTTAGCTAGTCCATTCAAGCTCTCTTCAAAGTATTCCCTCTCAGAGTTGGCTGCTTGCCATCTCTGCCAGTCTCATAACATGTCAATTATGATGTGTGAAATGGAGACCAGATCCACCCACCTTGCCATTAATAAACAATTATAATTGCCTATACAGACCCATTACAACTCTTGTCAATTTACCTTTTGTCTGTCTTCACTTTCCATTCATAAATCCTACCAGCTAATTTAGTAAATATTTGCTATGTCTGAAGAGAACATTTTGGGGCACATGCACAAAGAGTGTGAACGATGGATATTTGAGGTTGATATCAGAAGGGATAATGATTTGTATCTAATGAAACAAGATGAAGCACTGCTAATCAAGACCAGTTTTCTCAAAATGGTTTTGAGAAAGAACCATTGAGTAGACACACATTCCAGCGCAGATTCTAAGGAATATTTTTCAAAAATGTTTATTTTAACAAATACTTAGTGACTTAGCCCAAAACATACAAATCTTACAAAGCTATAAGTAAAAACCATATAGAAATGCAAAATAATTTAAAAAAATCTACTTTACTGTAAGAGCTCCCCACCGAAAGTATATATCCTTGTTGATAAATTATTTATATCAGCTAATGGCTATTGGGGAAAAAAATCTCTAAAGATATGAAAGGAAATTGGTAGAGGTTAAAAGCTGGAAGGCCAGAAAAGAGCATGATTGCATACAATTAGAAAGCAATCTCTTCCACAAAGTAAAAGACCCACACACATACTACTAGATTTATTGTATTTGCATTAGGCACAGGGCACTCATGATGAAATAAGAAGGACGAGGGGGGACATGATAGCAGTATTCCAATATCTCAGGAGCTGCCACAAAGAAGAGGGAGTCAAGCCATTTTCCAAGGCACCTGAAGACAAGACAAGAAGCAACGGGTGGAAACTAAGCAAGGAGAAAAGCAACCTAGAACTAAGGAGAAACTTCCTGACAGTTAGAACAATTAACCAGTGCAATAACCTGCCTCCAGAAGTGGTGAATGCTCCAACACTGGAAGTTTTTAAGAAGAGACTGGACAGTCATTTGTCTGAAATGGTATAGGGTTTCCTGCCTGAGCAGGGGGTTGGACTAGATGACCTCCAAGGTCCCTTCCAACTTATTATTATTTTCAATCATCGCACAGTCAGCCAGATGTTCAGACTGGATTTGGCATTTTGTCTACCTATCGAGTCCTTACCCAGGACCTGGGATAGGCAGATGTGGATGTTTGATGGTATTACAGGTATCGTCGCAGGATGGAAGCAGTTCCTAATAAGGCCGCCTTTTGCAATTGACTAATAGCAAATTTGTCAATGCCAATGGTGTTCAAGTGGTGCTCCAGTTGTTTTGGGATTGCACCCAAGGAGCCTATGACTATTGGTACTACCCTTGCTTGCTTTTGCCACAGTCTTTCTATTTCTATTTGTAGGTCTTTGTATTTTGTTATCTTCTCCAGTTCTTTCTCTTCTATTCTGCTGTCTCCAGGCACTGCCACGTCCACTATCCAGACTTTTTTGTCTTTCTTATCGACAATTGTTAAGTCTGGGGTGTTATGTTGCAGGTGCTTGTCTGTTTGAATTCTGAAGTCCCAGAGCAGTTTAATTTTATCATTTTCTATGACTTTCTCTATTTTATGATCCCACCAGTTTTTGCTTACAGGCAAATGATATTTTTTGCAGATCTTCCAATGCACCATTGTTGCTACTTTGTCATGCCGCTGCTTGTAATCAGTCTGTGCAATCTTCTTGCAACAGCTTACCAAGTGGTCCACTGTTTCTTCAGCTTCTTTGCATAGGCGGCACTTACTGTCTGTTGCTGTCTTCTCAATTTTGACTTTGTATGCATTTGTCCTTAAGGCTTGGTCTTGTGCAGCCAGAATTAGTCCCTCGGTCTCTTTCTTCAATTTTCCTGCTCTTAGCCATTGCCAGGTTTGTTATTATCTGCTTTCCCAGCTATTTTTTTAATGTATTGGCCATGTAGTGCTTTGTCTTCCCATGCCTCTATTCTGTTCTTCATTTGGTCTTTCTTGTAGGCCAGTTTGGTCTCTCCAGTAGTTAGTAAGCCTTCCTGATATACTAATTTCAGTGCATCTTCATCATTGTTCTTCAGATATTCTTCCAAAGCCATTTTTTCTTCTTCAACCATCTGATGTACTTGTAGCATTCCACGCCCACCTATTTGCCTTGGTAGATAAAGTCTATCAATGTCACTGCGTGGATGAAGGGCGTGATTCATTGTCATTATTTTTCTGGTCTGCCTATCCATTGCTTTTAGTTCTGCTTGAGTCCAGTCCACTATTCCAGCTGTGTACCTAATGACTGGGATTGCCCAGGTGTTGATTGCCTTTATGGTATTTCCTCCATTGAGTTTGGATTTTAAGATCTTCTTCACTCTCTTGATGTATTCACCTCTAATCTTTTTCTTGACTTCAGTGTGCTTGATGTTGTCAGCTTGAAGGATACCCAAGTATTTGTAGTATCTTCCTCATCCAGACTCTTAATGTTATTTTCGTGGGGCATCTTGATTCCTTCAGTTTTCACTATTTTTCCTTGTTTGATAGTAAGTGTGGCACATTTGTCCAAGCCAAACTCCATTACAATATCTTGGCTATATATACGGACAGTGTTGAGCAGCGATTCTATTTCAGATGATGTTTTTCCATACAGCTTCAGATCATCCATGTAAAGGAGGTGGGATAGTCTAGCAGATGTTTTTGATGTTTGATAACCATGTCCTGAGTTATTCAGTATTGTTGACAGAGGAAACAGTGCAATAACAAATAGTAATGGTGATAATGAATCTCCTTGAAATATTCCTCTCTTGATATTAACCTCTCCCAGCTTTTCTCACCATTGATCTGCAACTGTGTCTTCCATTGTGCCATCGATTTTTGCACAAATTTTCTGATGTTTCTACTTACTCCTGTTATTTCTAGGCACTTGATTATCCAGTCATGTGGCAGAGAGTCAAATGCCTTTTTGTAGTCAATCCATGCCACATTCAGGTTGGTCTTCCTTCTCTTGCAGTTTTCCAAGATCATTTTGTCTATTAGGAGTTGATCTTTTGTTCCTCTGCTATTGGGGCGGTTTCCTTTCTGCTCAGGTGGAAAGAGATTGTTTTCAACTAGATGCTGTTGTACTGCATCAGCTACCACACCAGTTAGTAATTTGAAAGTTGTTGGTAAGCAGGTAATTGGCCTGTAGTTACCTGGTGTTGCCCCTCTTGCTGGATTTTTCATTATTAGGTAGGTTTTCCCAGTTGTTAGCCACTTTTCAATTTCTCCTCCTTGTAGTATATTGTTGAATTGCTTGGCAATGAGTGGGTGTATAACAGTTAGATGTTTCAACCAAAACCCATGCAGTTCATCTTCACCTGGTGCTGACCAATTTTTGATTTTCTTTGCTCTTTTTTCTACCATTTTTGTTGTTATTACTAGTTCTTTCATTTCAACTTCTGTTTTATTTGCATCCACCTCTTTTAACCAAGCCGCATCCTTGTTGTATTTCTTTGGGTTATCCCATATCTGCTTCCAGAACTGCACTGTTTCTTCCTTGTCAGGTACTGACTGATTCCTTGCAGTTTCTCCATTGATGGATTGGTAGAAACGTTTCTGATTGGATTGAAATTGGAGGTTCTGCCTATAGTTTGCAATTCGAGCTTCATATCTACTGATTTTCCTGGCTATAGCTGTTATTTGTTGCTTTATTATTTCCAGTGCTTCCTTGATCTTCCTTGTTTCTAAGTGGTATTTCTTGATTAGGTATTCTTTGGTCTTCTTGTTCTTCAGCTTCTTTTCTTTCATCTGTTCTAGCTTGCTTGCATGTGATCTTAACTTGCTGATCTTATTTTCTAGTCTAACCTTCCATTTTTGTGGTGCACTGTTTGTTTGTTTTTCTTTTTGTTGATTTTGCATCCCAGGTATTCTGTTATAACTGCAGCTGTGCTGTACATTAGTTGGTTTGTTTCTTGCAGTGAATTGGTGCTTATACTTGCTATTGCAGTATTTGCATCTTTTAATGCTTGTGCTAGCTGTTTCTTTGGAACAAGCTTCAATGCAGGCAGCCTTATTCTGTTGTTTTTGTGCTGTTCTAGATGCTCAGTTATTCTTTGTTTCAATTCTTTTATTTCTTTAGTTAGAGGGTTTTGTTCTTCCTGAGGAAGAGGTGCCTGGTTTCCAAATGAGAACAGTTGTATATCTCTACTGGATTCTTTCACTGCCAACTCCCCCTGGTTTGCCTCTACATTCTGAATTACTTCTTGTAAGGCTTTGATTTCTTTGCCCTGGGTAAACCTTTGCAGTTCGTCCAATTCTGTTTCTGTAAATACTTTATTTCGTGTTATAAATCGGCGTTGATCTGCTAGTCTCTGTTCTGTTATTTCTGATTCTGGATGTT